TATTTGAAACTTTAGTCTAAACATGCTGAAGTTATTTAGTTCATTTGCTAAAATTTCAGACTAAACTTGCTGAAGTTATTTGGTTCATTTGCTAAAACTTCAGACTAAACATGCTTAAGTTATTCAGTTTATTTGCTTAAACTTAAGACTAATCATGCTTAAGTTATTTAGTTTATTTGCTAAAACTTCAGACTAAACATGCTTAAGTTTTTTTAGTTCATTTGCTAAAACTTCAGACTAAACATGCTTAAGTTTTTGTCTTGTAGTATGTAATTTTCTAATGAGTTTTTGCTAATGTATGCTGAAGTTATTTAGTTCATTTGCTAAAACGTCATACAAAACATGCTGAAGTTATTTAGTTCATTTGCTAAAACTTCAGACTAAACATGCTGAAGTTATTTAGTTCATTTGTTAAAACTTCAGACTAAACATTGTAACAACCCGACCGGTCGTTTTGAGAAGTATAGCCCCGATCCCTTATTTACTGTTTCCCCCGTATCTCTTTCTGCTTATTAGTTTTGCCGAGAGGTGTTGGTTGTGGTTTTGGAGTGTTTTGGGACACTTAGTCCCTAAACGGAAGCTTAAGTCTTAGGATTTTATCCATAGTCGGAACTGTGTGAAGACGATTCCGGAATGGAGTTTTGTTGATTCCGTTAGCTCCGTTGAGTAATTTTAGACTTAATGGCGTGTCCGGATTGTGTTTTGGAGGTCTGTAGCTCATTTAGGCTTGAAATGGCGAAAGTCGAATTTTTGAAGATTTGGACCTGTAGTGTACTTTTTAATATCGTGGTCGAATTCCGATTCCAGAAGTTGGAGTAGGTCCGTAAGGTTGAATATGACTTGTCTATCAAATTTGGGGTCAATCAGACGTGGTTTGAAAGGTTTCGACATCGATTGTAGAAATTGGAAGTTTCAAGTTCATTTAGATTGAATCGGAGGGTGATTTGTATTTTTAGCATTGTTTGATGTGATTCGTGGGTTTGACTAAGTTCGTATGGTGTTTTAGTACTGATTGAAATATTTGGTTGAGGTCCCGGGAGTCTCGGATGTATTTCGGATGATTTACGGAATGAGATTTGGACTTAGGCATTTGCTGAGAATTTGTTGGTTTCTCGTGATTCGCACCTGCGGAGGGAAAACTGCAGGTGCGGACTCGCATATGCAGAAGAAGGGTCACAGGTGTAGTTTTGGTCAAGAAGGTCAGTGATCGCAGGTGCGAGAAGGGAGCCGCATCTGCAAATGTGGTGGAAGGGTCGCAGGAGCGGGTATGGGCGGCCTGGGCAGGGGTCGCAGATGCGGAAGCTTAACCGCAGGAGCGGGCGCGCAGGTGCGGCCCATTGCTCGCAGATGCGGCCCCAGCCTTTTAAGTCATTTCCGCACCTGCGATGGAATTTCCGCAGGTGGGGCACCGCAGGTGCAGTTGGAGGCTCGCAGAAGCGAGATTACTGGGCAGAAAAGAGAAATTCGAGGGTTTGATTCCCCTTTCAATTTTTGGACTTTGGGAGCTCGGTGTGAGGCAATTTTTTTTGAGGTTTCTTCAAGAAGATTGTTGGAGTAAGTGATTCTAACTCGGACTGGGCTATATTTCATAAATCTATTGCTATTTTCATCTTCTAATTAGGGATTTAAGTTGGAAATTTGGGAAAAAATGGTAAAAACTTCATAGACTAACTTCGAGTTTTGGAAGGCGATTTGAGGTCGGATTCAAGTAATTCTTGTATGGCTAGACTCGTGAGTGAATGGATGTTCATATTTTGTGACTTTTACCCGATTCCGAGACATGGGCCCGAGGAGGCTTTTTGGGACGATTTCCTAATTTCTTGCTTTAGCTTAGATTTCATTGATTAGATTAGTTTCTTATAGATATATTTATGGTATGTAATTGTGTTTGGCTGGATTTGGGCCATTCAGAGTCAGATAATCGAGGAAAGGGCATTCTTATGGATTGATTTATACTTGGTTCGAGGTAAGTGGCTTGCCTTACCTTGTGTGGGAGAAATTCCCTTAGGATTTGGTACTGATATGATATGTGAGCGTCGTGTACGCGAGGTGACGAGTGCGAACACTGGCGATTTGCTGCAAACCCTGATTTTACTGAGTAATTACTTGTTTTCACCTTAATCGAGTATACTAGCATGTATAGTTATCATGTTAGCCTAGAATAGAATGTCTACATGTCTTAATTGCTTAACTGAACTCTTTGCAGCATGCTTAGTGAATTCTTGCTTCTTTTCTTGACTTGTACCTACCCTAAACTGTAGATTCCCTTGTTGTAACTGTTATTTTCATTTGTTTGAGCTGTGTATTTACTTTGGGACTACGGGATAGTATCCCGGGAGATCCCTCTGCATATTTACTTTTGAGATTACGGGGCGGTACCTCGGGAGTTCTCCCTGTATATTTACTTTTGAGACTATGAGGCGGTACCTCGGGAGTTCTCCCTTCACATTTACTTTTGAGACTACGAGGCGATACCTTGAAAGTTCTCCCCTGTACATTTACTTTTGGGCCAACGAGACGGTATCTCTGGAGATCCCCTGTTGTTTATCCCTGTGTGTTGTACTATTATTTTATTGTGTTTTCCTTTGTTGAACTCGAGTCTCTTATTATATTGTTATATTCACCTGCTTTATTTATTTTATACTAGTGGGCCTGACCTGACCTCGTCACTACTCGACCGAGGTTAGACTTTGTACTTACTAGGTACCATTGTGGTGTACTCATGCTACTCTTCTGCATATGTTTTGTGTGCAGATCCAGGTGCTCATTATTAGTAGCATTATCAGTGAGTCGGGACAACTTTGGAGACTTCAAGGTATATCTGCCTCGTCCGCAGACCTCGGGGTCCCCCTCTATTCTCCCCTGTGTCAAACACTTCCCGTATTTCTTTTTGTTAGACTCTGGTGTATAGAGATACTATTTTCTTTCTGTAGTTTGTGACTCATGATATTCCGAGTTTTGGGAAAGTTGTGTATGTCTAGCGTTTTAGTTATTGTACATGCCGAGCGACATTGTTTTTGGTTATTCAGTATCTATTGCAGTTATTTGATAAGTCTTGCTTCCATTATTGGTATTTTCACAATTTATTAGACTTACCTAGTCGTAGAGATTAGGTGTCGGCACAACGTGTTTCAGAGGGATGTTTGGGTCGTGAAAAACATGCTGAAGTTTTTTAGTTCATTTGCTAAAATTTCATATAACACCAATGTCAATCAAGTAATAGTTTTTGAAATGGAGATAACACCACTTTACCCTTTCGATTGTCAAGTTGTTCATGATATTTTTTATGTATGATTTTATTTTATGTCTTTATGAAAGAAAGCAAATATAGGTTCATAATCTTTTTGTATCGCATAGTTGCGTGTTTGTGTTTCTACCGTCTCTGTACATGTTTTGAGAGAATAAATATTCGAGTTAGATTTCGAACTAAAACTCGTTAATTTATTCATAGTAGACTTCAAATACTAATAGTGATTATAATGTTATTCCACATTATCTACAATATTTAATCGGTAGACAATATTTATGAACTGGTAAAGTCGGTGTTTGATTTTAGGATAGCGAACAGCGCTACACCTTTCTAGTTGAGCTCAAACATTTAATAGTTCTGATTATATATCCAAGCTAATTTCCTTAATTGTAGATCAGAGCTTGGTCTTTTAACTCCATTTGTGCAATCAAGATAACAGAGAAACCTGAATATTCAAAAGTAAGAAGAAAAATAATAGTTTAATAATATTATAAATATAATAATTGAAAATACACCAATTATAGAGTCATGAATTAGACCCACAAAAAAAAAACCTTCCATGTGATAAACTAATAAATACCAGTTGTGTTATCTATAAAGTTAGAGACACCAATTTGAGCAAATTCAAATTACCAAAAAAAAACACGGAATTACTAAAAAATAAGGAATCCATGGTTCGTGACTCAAACCTGACCCTTTGAGCACACAACTAATCAGAGCAGACCTTCTAAGTCGTTATCTCATAGCAACTCAAGGATAGCTAGTGACGTTATTCCAGAAGAACCTTTAAACAAAATCCTGTATATTTGAACAATAATATAATATAACAGCCTATTTTACCAGTGAGATAGAAGTCCACGATGAAAATCGAGAAACTCTAGCAACCTATTTTCCTGTGCAAGAACAAATCAGAACAGAACCAAACCACATGATTTATATCATAAGCAAGAAACAAAGAAAACTAAAAAGTAAAAAAAGGCTTAAAGAGCATGAATAAGATTTCATATACGTGAGATACAAAACGTTAAACTATAAGAAGAAGAAAAAAGAAAGTTAACCGTGATCCAATTTTGTCAAATATGTCCAAAAGGAAACGGGACACCGATATTCAATAATTTTAAATATATTACAAACTGGAGAACTAAATATCAAGTGTATAACAAAGAATAATTGAATCATACATATTGCTGTCCAAAAAGAATTAGGCTATTATCCTTTGAACCATGCATGTAGTAGTCCAAAACGAAGGTTAAGTCATAATTGATTAGATTACGAACTGGGCTATGTAGAGTAGTAAATTACGGTTGGCATATGTATAGATTAAATCGGAAAGAATTTCTCACTTAGGTAATATTTTGAATATTACAATTATATCCACATTTAACACAAATATTCAAGGGCATAAAAGTCGATTAACATCCCAGGGATATTTTAGTCGTATAAGAATTGGCGTGAAATATTCGTGCTTTTATAATAAATAAATAAATAAATAAATATATATATATATATATATATATATATAGATGATAGATAGATAGATAACTTGTGTAGGTTGTCGTGTGAAAGCATGTGGTTTTGCCGAAATACTGTGAATGTAAGTAGAATAGCACAAAGAGATACGTTTGTGTTAGTGTATGCTAAGATTGAGTTCTAAAAAAAATTATAGATTTGTTAGGTAATTTTACAATGTCTTCTACCCCCCTTTCCATTTTTATTTTTTCCTCTCTTTGAAATTTGAACTTTAACGGCTATGACTGATACATTTTCCGTATGCAAATTTCATGTTTGGCTTGTTGATGTTTGTGTACGGTCAAAACCGATTGACTTAGTCGTACGAACTGGTCGAGACGATAATGTTTCGATCAAAGGGTATCTGCATGACAAGCTCGGTCGAGGTCCGAAGTAAGGGGTGTCGAGCTTCAAGCCCTTAGACCGATCAATGACAAGCTCGGTATCATTATCGAGCTCATATCCAAATCGAACTAGGAGGCAAAGCGGAGATTATCGAAGATGCATAGACCGACTAACACTCACCCCGAATATCGAGACCCCAAGTCAGAGTCGAGCTCGAACCAAGGCCGAGGGCTCGATCCAATACCGAGCTCGAGCCAGTATCGAGCTCGCAGACAAGAGCCGTTGCAACCGCACTATGGGAGGGAATCTTGACGAAAATCGAGGAAAAGACAATTCATCGTGGGTCCTTCACTATATATTTTTATTATTATAGATAAAGTAGGATCTCTCTAATATAAGAGGGGGATGTTAACACATTGAGGGGGAGGACGTTACCTTGTTCATCAATATTTCCCTTTTCTCTGCCTTATATTTCATTCCATTTGCCAAGAATAGAGATATTTACATTTCACTCTACAATTTGTATCAAGTTATATCACGTGTCCTTAGAACCATATACAAATTTAACTCTATCCGATTTTTCGGGTAAACAATGTTATGATAGAAATATAAAAACTTCATTCACGAATTGAGTATTACCAGTATGGAGCATTGAAACCTATTAACGTCATTACCCTTTGATCTACCTAGAATTTATTATATCTCACCTTTGGATTTACAAAAACACCTAGCATGTAAAAACTTTTACATCTATCGAAGTTTTACCAGTAATTGATTGTACAAGCATTTTTAGGTTGCCCAAACTATTCCCACCCTCTTTCCGTGCATTATAACCGTTGGCTTCCTCATAAGCTCTGTTCAGCGCCACGCACCACCTCTATGGCCCCGTCGAACGGTGGCCAACCGGCACGTATAGATACTCAAAATGATGCTACTGTTTGTGCGAACAACCCTACAGAATCAATTGCCAAAATTTCTTCATATGCAACTGCAATCACCACTGCTACTCCTCTACCACCTCCCAAAATTAGACATCCAAGAGAAGCTGTTAGTGCTCGACATACCACACACAATGGGATGCCAGCAGTAATCTTCAAGGCTACAGATTATTATGGGGTTATGGCTAAGGAATGTAGACTCACTATTATGGGTCGGTTCTTGAAACCTAGGCCCCGAATCGAGAAAATTAGGGCTACATTCAGAGAACAATTTTCAGTCAAAGGCAGGGCCAAAATTGGGGTTTATGACAACTACAATGTCTTCTTAGACTTTACTAATGAGGATGACTTCAATTCGATTTGGTACAGAAGAATGGTGGAAATTGATGGGCTTCAGATGTGGCTTCAAAAATGGACCCAGACTTCCGACCAGACAAAGACATTCCCATTGTGCCGGTATGGATTCTATTACCTGGTCTTCTATGTAATATGCATACATGGCATTATGTTAAACAAATCTGTAGTGAGGTTGGAACTCCACTTGCGTTGGATGTTGCCACCAATGGTAAGACTAGACCTAGCATGACTAAAGTTCAAGTTGAAATTGATCTGCTTAAACCTTTAGTAGACAGTGTATTTGTGGGATCACAAGATAAAAATGCTACAATCAAATGCTTCACTCAAAAAATTGAGTATGAGGGCATCTCTAAATATTGTAAGCAATGCAAGAAACTTGGGCATAATCTTATGAATTATAGAGTTATGGAAAAGAAAAGAGCTTCGGAGATAGAGAAAAACAACAAAGAGGAAGGCTTGACACAATCAAAAGAAGGCACTAGCAAAGATCAAAATGAGAAGAGTGAAGAAAAAGTGGAAAATCAAAAGAATGTTAATAAACGAGTAGATGAAAACAAGAAAGAGAAGGCTACTAAGGCTCAGAACAACAAGAAAGGAGGTCTCAGTACAAATGAGGGAAATAAGGGTGACAGAATAAATCTGGAGACACAACGCAAGAAGGAAGTTACACAAGACCATTATACTCAACAAAGAGGAGAAGGAAATTCAACAACAATTGCAGAAAGAATTAGAAAAGCAAGAAGAAAAAAAAGCCAAAGAAGAAAAGCAAGGTGACCTTCAAACCTGCTCAAAGACACAAAAGGAACAAGCAGGATGATGCCTCCTGAAGCTCCTCAAATCACAACTATAAACGCATAGAGTGGTTATATGATAAAAACAACAGTTTAGAAGCAAAACAGACTACTGATATTTAGAGTAATCAAGCTGCTTCTATGATTAAGGGAAACTCTTCTCATAATCTGTTTAATGATATCCAGAATTCTGCAAATGATGCTACAGGTAGGATACAAGCGGTTATAATGATTTGACAAGGAATAAAAACCAACAGGAGGTTTCTACTGATAAAAAGAAAAAGAAAAAGACATTGAAGTGGAATCAAATTCACATTCTACATATCTTCCTACCAATATAATTGAACAGCCGGGTATAGAATTAGTGGTTGAGTTATATGCAAACCAAGAACACTCTGGAGGAAACAACACGGTGAAAGAAACTGATCATACTATGCTTGACCCACATCAAAGCATATGAGTACTGCAATAGAATAAAGGTACCAAACAAAATAAACAGAACCTGGATAAGGAAGATTACTTACTTGAGGGCAGAGGAGGAAGTAGATCGAGAAATGTTTACAAGAAACACAAAAATAGAAATACTTCCTCATTAAAGAGGTTACTTTCACAACCCAATTTTTCCTATAGGCCGTGATGGCACCTAACGTTGCCGCTAGACAAGCTAACGGTGAATTAGCCATGTATCTATTCCTTTTAATAATTTAAAAATAGTTAATTTTTATTTATTAAGTAAGTAAGAGGTGAAAATTTTAACAAAATAAAGCATAAACAAATATAAGAACAAGTGTGGTGAAGTAAATACTCAAAAGCCATCAAATGTCTATAAGCATATTTTCCAAGACCTGGTGTCACAAGTGTATGAGTTATTAGTAGAATATACAAAACTCTAAACTACTGTCTAAAATAAAGTAGATAGAAAGTAGATACAAAAGAGAGACTACGGGTGCTACAAAACGGGCTCGAAAAGCAGCTCACCACTAAGTCTCGGGGTACCAGAAGTGCGCGTCGGGATGCTACCAGATGCACCTGCCTCAGATCCTACACGATTAGTGCAGAAATGTAGCGTGAATATATAAACAACATGAACCCAATAAGTATCCAGTCTAACCTCGAAGAAGTAGTGATGAGGGGTCGACATCGACACTTATTGTGGGCCAACAAATAAAATACAAAAATTCTAAAAAAGCATGGGTTATGATAATAATAATAATAATAATAATAATAATAATAATAATAATAATAATAATAATAATAATAATAATAATAATAATAATAATAACTGAATAACAAGCACTGAATAAATAATTCTTTCACTATTAGTAAATTCTCACATCTCTAACCAACACCTACTAACTCCAAGTCAATTTTTGACATTTAAATAATTATAACCTCTCAATCCAAAAAATAATATCAAGTATAATTAGGCTCCGAGTATTATCACACACGATTTATGCCGAGGTCGAACAGTCCGATCCCAAAAATATATTGTGTGCACTGCCGAGGATAGAACAGCACAAATCATAGATGCATCTATTAAACTGTCGAGGCGAACGACGCGCTCCAATGAGAATAGAAAAGTTTATCTTGCTCACGGAAGTACTTGCGACATGAGAGGACATGGATTTCTCAGAGTTATTAAATATTTATCAATTCTTTCCTGAAAATAAGAAATCTAACTTGGATGTTTTCAACTTTAAAATCTCTAGTCTTGATCTATTCAAGATAATTAATAAGCATAATAAATATGACAGTACAATTAAAGCATGATGTAAACCTAAGACTACTCAGACATCTTATGGAATACTCGTCATCTAGTGCGTATGTAACTCCCTATGCAAGTAATTCACAACAAAAATACACCTAAGTGGATGAGTTCCCTCTTACAAGGTTAGGCAAGAGTCTTACCTTGTTCTCAAGCTCACTTCCGGTCCACAAATACGCTCTAAATCCTCAACTTGGTGCCAAACAACCCGAAACTAGTCAAATATTATATAAATAAGTCAATATATACTCAAAAGTTCATAATTTAACTATTGGAGTAATTACCCAACCAAAATTAAAAAATTCTTAAAATTCACCTCCCGAGCTCACGTGCCTGGATTCCGGAAATTTTTTAAAATAATTGTTATCCATAACCTCACGAACTCTAATATACAATTTTCACCCAATTCCATAATCATTTTCGTGGTTAAATCCCCCTTTTATCAAAACCTAGGTTTTTCAACTAAATTCAAAATTTCTACACTTTATATGCTAAGAATCTACCCAAAATACGTGTATTAAACTCATCTCATATAGAATCGCTTACCTCAAAGTGCTAGGTGAAAACTCCTCTTCATAAAGCTCCAAAATCGCCCAATTTAAAATCGCCTAAGTCTTGACATTAAAAGACCCCACTGCCTCTAGCGATTTAGCTTCTGCGGACCTTGGGTCGCACCTGCAATGCCGCTTCTGCGAAAAACACCTAGCCCAGCTTTAGGCGCTCCTGCAGAAGGGCACCGCACCTGCGAGCCCTCTTATGCGGCTTGCTTTTCGCACCTACTACCTTGCCTACACTAGCCTCCTCCGCACCTACGGCCCCTTCATCACAGAAGCGAGGCCTCTTATGCGGAAATTCCTCTGCTTCTACAAGCCACATACCACTCGCCCAAAACCGCTTCTGCGGCCAAACGCTCACACCTGCGGCCAAAATCTTGCAGGTGCGGACGCACCAGAACTGGCGCACCAGCAGCTCTCTCTCAAGTTCAAACTTGATCCGCGCATCGTCCGAATAGCACACGAGACCTCCCCGGGCCTCGCCAAAATATACCAATAAGTTTGTAAACAGACAATAGACTCGCTCGCACCCTCGGAATGCGGATAATAACGTCAAAACTAAGAATCACAACCCAAAACCAAATCGAATCATCTTATGAACTTCAAGTTCTTCCAACTCACTCAGAACTTGCCGAATCATACTTAGACTACTCGGAATGACACCAAATTTTTCGTGCAAGTCTTAAATCATCATACAGAACTATTCCCGGACTCGAAATTCTAAAAGGACCTCGATAACACCAAAACCTACTCCAAAACAAATTTAATGAACTTTAGAACTTTCAATGTGCCAACTTTCAATATAAAGTGTCGAAACGCTCCTAGGTTATCCAAAACCCGATCCGAACATACGCCCAAGTTCAAAATCTTCATACAAACTTATTGGGACCATCAAATCCCGATTCTGAGGTCGTTTACTATAAATGTTGATCGAAGTCAAACTTAACCCTTTTAAGCTAATATTAAGGAACTAAGTGTTCTGATTTTAACTTGAACCCTTCCAAACCCGAACTAACCATCCTCGCAAGTCATAAAATAGTAAAATTACATACGTGGAGCCTTATTTAAGGGANATTAGGAGGGTAAGATCCAAGAAAGCCATCCACAGGCTAAAATAATTGATAGACACCAACAACATCTTTGTTGCAATTACGGAACCAATGGTTAGCAAAGACAAAATCGATGGTTATAGGAAGTTTTTGGTTTTCAACAGTGTATTTCCAATGATAATGGGAAAATTTGGTGTTTATAGAAAAATATCAGTCAAACAACTGTCATTGAAAACCATGAACAACATATTTTTATCAAAGCTGAAGATGGTGCAAGTAATCTCCTCATTGTCATCATAGTTATTTATGCTAAATATACTACTTTGGAAAGAAGAGAGTTGTGG